TCAACAAAACAACAACAAAAAAAAAAAAAAAAAAAATTAAGGAAGTCAATACAGAGGTCCCACATGGCAGACAGTTCTGATCACAAAATGGGTATGAAAGAGATCCCTGTGGAATCTGTTACTGATACAGTTAGATAAGATTAAAAAAATTAAAAAGCATTGTACACCAATAATATTCCATGATGAATCTTGAGAGAGTTAAAAACACTAGCCCAAAATGTTCCAGGAACAGCACCTTGTAGTGATTCTTTGGTACCATGGACTCTACAGGGTATCTATTGTTTTGAGCTGCTGGCGCAATTTTATCCATTCTGAAGAATAAAGTTTTCCTGGTAGAAACATTTAATAGCATCATCTATTAGGATTGTATCTACAGCTTATGCCTCCATATTACTCCATTATGTGAACATAAGGGTAGGGCAACTGTAATTGTCCTTCAGTTCCATTGCAATACAAGACAAGGTTGCTAAAACACTGAACAGTAAGATCCAGGAATGCTCAGGTCTCTCAGTTTATAAGGGAAAGTCTTACACTCATTAAGGAGAATCTTAGTCAATAGCCAACATCCATATTATGTCAGCTGAAGGGGTAAATAAAATTACCTTAATTTCCAGATATACCTGGATGAATAAGGAAGTATATGATAGCATGTAGTCATTTTCAATAGGTCTAAGTGAAAAAAGCCTAGTCTAATAAGAGGTGACAAGAGTCATTGCTGCGTTGCCCTACCCTATCACTGATGTTCTCCCTATGATCAAGGGACTCTGAACTCAGATCATCTTGGTATTGCATGCCTTCCTGAAATCTACAGAAAGTTCAAATAAGCATCTCAGTCTAAAGCACGTGTAGAAAGTGTCATAATTGGAAAAGGGACAAAAACTATCCCCACACCCCCACTTCCCTCATACATTTAGTGGGTCTGACCACCAAGTTAGCTCTTGCTGGTCTTGAGGTCTCTTGATTGTGTGATGTCTGGACAAGGAGCACACAGACCTCAGGCACATTTTTAAGAGCTACAGGTGAGGCTGGCAATGTTGACATAAGGCCTAAAAATTCCAGATATATTTGTACAGTCATGGATAAGTTTGATCTTAAGTAGTTTATCGGTAACTAAAGAGACTGGAAACCACCTTCTGGCAGATGTTCTTGGCAACAGAAAGCAATCATGGCTCCTTTGTACTCTGTTGCCAAGAGAATTTTCACTGCATTCTCTCAGCTAGGTTGCCTTGTGAGTAGAGAGGTAGATGGAGCGCTTCAGTCTCTGGATGGAACCTACCTCTGATCAGCCAGTCACCAAAGTAGAAGTAGGCAGGGATTTCAGTCACTTTGGCTCCAGAGCAAGATGCACAGGTGGAAGCCCACCGTGCCCCCGTGAGCCCCAGGACCCCCAATCCCGAGCCTAGCCAGAGGTAAGTAGGGCCCATGGTAGGAGGGACCTAACACAGCTGTGGGGAGGCAGCTGAGAAGTCAAGAAGGTCACCCCACTCCAGCTCCTAATTCACCCAGCCCCCTAGGGAGCCATGTGACCAGAGCCTCATAAACAGAACATGCAAAGAGGTCTGCTTCCAGGCCCGGTGCACAAGTTAGCGTGGGAGTTTGCATGGGAAGGTGGGCAGGAGAGGCACAAGGCCCTAGGCAGTGAGCCTCAAGGGAGTGGTTGGCACAGTACTAGCCAAACTACTACTGGTGCAATGGTGGGTGGGACACATCATGCCCACCCCCCCCCGGGAAGCTGGATCCCTCCCCTCTGGTACTTCTGAGCCTCCACCCAGATGGAACCCATGGTTCTGGCCTTCATTCAGACAGAGCCCCTGGCAAGAGTCCAGGCAGAGAACATAGTATTCTGGAAGTGAACACATGACCTAGATGGTGGTGTCTAGGTGAAGGCTTCAGCTTCTTTGACAACAGGCAGATGTTCTTGGGATGAGGACTGCCATCAAAAGATGGGATCCATTTGATGAGAAGAGGGAAAAGCATCTTTAGGCATCACCTGGCCAATCTAGTAAGGAGGGCTTTAAAATAGATTCTGTGTGGGATGGTGATCAAAAAACTCTCCAGCAACAGAGTATGCAAAGGACTCAAAGAAGCAATTCAACTCTGGGAAAGGGCAAGAGAGCTACAGGACTGCACCAAGTGGCACAAAAGGGGTTCAAGGAGCTCAAAACACATCCAATGTATGCATACAAATGCAAGAAGTATGGGAAATAAACAAGGAGGTGCTGGAAGCTGCAGCCTGTGAAAAAGATCCATGATCTGGCTAGTATTGCCAAGACCTGGCAGAACATTTCTTGTGACTGGAATGCCAACATGGAGGGTTACACTGTTTCAGAAGGACAGGGTTGGGAGAACAAGGTGGTGGTGTTCAGGATGAAGACAACATCAGAGTAGAAAGGAAGATGCAAGGTGAAAGATGCAACACTACAGGTGCACTGATAAAAAAAAAAAAAAAGTCGGTCCATATTGGATCGGCACCAATAAAGGAAAATTGACACTATCAGCAATCAGCTGTTTTTGGCCAGTGTAGCCAATAATGTCACCGATAAATGCCATATGTATGAGTGCAACCACAGCATGCAAGCACCCAGGAATGCAGCCTGGCAGCTTGGAAAGTCTGTGGGGGAAGGAAGGGACATGGGGGGGCGGGGAAGCCGTGGGTGGCTCATCTGGGGAAGGGGAAGGCTCAGGGCCAGGGGCTGCACCGGCCTCTTCCTGGCAGGACAGCTGGGCTGGGGCTGCATTTGGGGGGGGGGGGGTGGGGGGGGCGGGGGAGGGGTGGGGGGGGGGGGGACAGGGGGGGGAACAGGCCCCCCCAAAAA